TCCCTTCCAGCCCAAATGATTCTATGGTTTCTGTGAACTGTAACACTTGCCCACAGTTAAAAGGAGTGAAAGTGTTTTAGAGCCCTTTTCTCCTGGGAAGATTGTCCATCCTAGTGCTACAAAGCTGTTGTGCTGCGGTGTTAACCCTGACACAGCCCTTTCCAAGCTTACTCTAAGGTGTGTTAAGACTTTTTATAACGAGAAATCAAGGCAGAAATTTTTGTTCTGGGAGTTGTTTCAAAAAGGCCTCGGAGCGATAGGAGCCCACATGCCATCTAGTGATCTTTGAGCCTTGGGTACCCATCAAGGCCTCTTAGAAAAATAATCTGAGCCAAGCACCTGACAAGTTGATGGTCCCACAAGCAGTCGTTGGCAGAGTTAAGGATATGATTTGTCAGCTTGGTTTAAAACTGTAAATCAAGAAGTTCATTTTATTCCGAGTTTTTGAGCGAAACGAGTGCAGGAATTTCTTGAGATACAGCTTTTCTCTGCTCATCAGCAGCATTTCCCATGTTGCGTCTGTGTCTTGACCTGAATTTACTATTTGGTTGGTTTGTTTTGTGTTTTTTTTTTTTTTTTTTTTTAAAAATGGTGATAGATATTCTTTCTCTCTTTCTCAGAGCACTGAACACAAGTCAGCTCAAAGCTCTCAGCATCGATATGCTTCCAGGATACCGGGACCCGTACTCTTCCAGGCCATTAACCAGGGGAGAGATCGGCTGCTTCCTTAGTCACTATTACATCTGGAAGGAGGTGAGGAGTTTGTGGGTGCTTCGGGGTTCCTGCAGGAGGGTGCTGTGCGCAGCAGAGCATCAAATACAGCGCAAGTTTCTGGAAGTGCAGGACGAAGCTGTTTTCCTTGGTCTGAAGGCGATGTTTAGCTTTCTCATCTCTGCTTTCCACTTGCCGACAGCTCTGAGCGATTTTTATCAGAACGTTTTCATGAGTGTTTTTGCAAACCATCCACTAGCCTGCTCGGAGCAAGTTTGCTTAGGAGAAAGACAAGAAGGTTTTGAAGGACAAATGGCGTTTGAAAAAAGCTCCTGCTTTTTTTCCCTTGTTCTGCAGCTGGACTGAAGCGAGTTCCAGTGACTCTACTGGACTGGCTTTTTTGAGTTGGCGTATCGTAAATATTCTTAACAGCAGAGACCTCTGCTACCTGAGCTAAGAGATCTCGTGGTAAAAGCTGTAGCTTCCATCTGTCCCTGGTCACCTGGGGAGTGACACTTGAGAGGATCTGGGCCGTGCTGGTCAGAAATGCTGGAGTTACACAGCTCGACATCACCAGGAGGGATTATTTCAAGTAAGGTGTGGAGGAGGCAGGGAGAAAGACTCGCTACTAAAAGAAGACGGGGCGATGGCGGTGGTTACCTAAGTGCAGACGTCTCTCTGCCTTCAGAGGTGTTGCAGCACCTCTTGGCGGGGCAGGGCACTGATCCAGACAGCCCGGGACTGGCAGGAATGACCTGAGGACGGGGAAGGCAGGCTATGCTTTCGGGATTAAGGCTTCTAAATCGCCAGCGGTCGAATGATAGCATGGGAACCTACACGCAGGCTGCCTTTGCGTGTGCGTTCTCTAAGTCGTCAGGGCCAGACTTTGGATATGCTAGGTTGTCCCAGGTTGTTGGAAGAAAGTTCCAACAAAGAGGTTTTTCTGAACAGTGGCTTTTGCATCAGTCTGCTGCACGTTCCTCTGAGGTGGTGGTTGCTGTGGTCGTGCTAGATGGTAGCTTGTGGGTTCTAGATAGTGCAACATCAGATGGAGGGTTTTTCTAGGTTGCAGATGCTCAGCCACAGCGTATTTTTAGGACGGGCTCTTGCCGTCTCTCCCAGCTGAACTGTGAATCTGGGAGTGATTCTCCAGCCTCCTTACCTGCGTGGTCTAGAAGGCAGTGCCAAGTCTGGATGACCCCAACAATTTCAGGGTGCAGGGAGCGGCCACTGCGACCACTTCTGAACCCTCTTGTTTCAGGTAGTGAACAGAGAGCTGGAGAAGACACTCGTTATTGAGGACGACGTGCGCTTTGAACATCAGTTTAAAAGGAAGCTCATGAAGCTGATGGATGACATTGAAGAAGCCCAGCTAGAGTGGGAGCTTATGTAAGTAACTGGTCCTCAGCCACCCGGCAGCTCCTGGGCATGCAGGGGAGGTCAGCAGCGCCGGCTGTGTCGTGACAGAGATGCAGGTTAATGCTGAAGTGCAGGGGAAGGTGGCAGAGGCTTCTCGGTGGCTCTTTCCATCAGGACAGATCTGCCTTCGGGGGCAGGCTGACGCTGGGGTGCCCACTGGGTACCGTTCCTGCCCTTCGTGGGCGGCGCTGGGTGATCTCAGCCGTGTCTGGAGGTGCTGCTGTGACAAAGGAACTGACACAGCTCAGTCCCGAGGCTTGGACCGTGTCATCTTAGCTCCCTTCTAAAGTCTTTCACAGCTATACCACCCACTGGGTTAAGACGTGGATGTCTGGGAGTGGTGCAGGGTAGAAATCTGGGAGCCTGGTCAGGGATTACTACTTGGATCCACCCTTTGCCCTTCCCTGGTCGACGTGAACACTGGGTCTTGTGGTCCTAATTGCTGTGGATTTTGGTTTGGTTCCAATTTCCTTGGTCTTTTCACCTTTTAAGCTACATTGGCCGGAAAAGGATGCAAGTGCAGGAGCCTGAGAAAGCAGTTCCCAATGTCATGAACCTGGTGGAAGCTGATTACTCGTACTGGACCCTGGGCTACGCAATCTCTTTCCAAGGGGCTCAGAAACTCATCGGAGCAGAGCCTTTTGGCAAGATGCTGCCTGTAGATGAATTCCTGCCGGTCATGTACAACAAGCACCCTGTGTAAGTAGGACACCTGCGTTACTCGGGTTGACGTGAGCTGGGTCTTGCCGGATGATCTGAAGGCGGGTGACGTTGGGGTGTCTCACTTCTGTTGCCCGGTTGGTGGGGGGACGGGGCTGCTCCTCGTGGTTTTTGATTGTCTGCGGCAGAGCTCCTGTCACAGGTCGGAGGAGGTGACAGCCCCGCTGCAGCGGGGTTACAGTCCCTACCTGGTGCAGGGCTTGTGGGCTGGGTTGGAGACCTTTGGCTGTCTCAGGTACCGGAGGCTTTGGCTGTGTAGGATGTGTGTGGTTGTAGGGCACGTGGGTCTGGCTGTAGGGTCAGAGTCTCCACCCCAGCAACTACCTCCGCTCCCTGGGACCGGTTTGCTCAGTGGGTTGGCTTGTGTCTCTCGGTTGTAAGCAGTGACGCTGATGAACGTTCGCTCTGTTCCTGATGATCTTTCTCTTCTCTTCAGAGCAAAGTACATGGAGTACTACGAGTCCAGAGACTTGAAAGCCTTTTCAGCAGAACCCCTGCTCGTTTACCCCACCCACTACACAGGGCAGCCAGGCTACCTCAGCGACACAGAGACCTCTACAATCTGGGATAACGAGACCGTGTCGACGGACTGGGACAGAACACACTCCTGGAAATCCCGGCAGCAGGGCAAGATCCACAGCGACGCCCAGAACAAGGATGCCCTGCCCTCCCAGTCGTCTCTCAATGCACCGTCCTCCAGGGACGAGCTATGACTGCCCGCTTCCCCTGGGACTCTCTTGACAGCTGGACCTGCCTCACACTTCGGCTTTTCACCCTTGAAAGTTGTAGAGCAGCTCTTCATGCGGTCTCCTTCCCACGGCTTCGGATGGCAAAGCGCGGTGGTTGGACCCGCCGGCTAACCGAGCCGCGTAGGACTGGGTGGGAGATGAAGGAGGCAAAAGAGCAAGCGTTCCAGGCCGGCAGAAAAAAGGCAGAGATCTGAACGAAGGCCCTCGCGAGCTTTTGGGAAAAAACCAACCTTGAATGACGTCTTTCTACAGTTCCTCGTTGTAGAACACTGTATTTATAAAGATTAATATATAGAGGTGTACAAGTGTTAATACCTTTCTGGATAGCTGTAGCTGGGCTGCCGTGTAACTGTTAACTCCTTGTAGGTTTGTAGGCTTTTATAACCCTGTTCACCGAGAGAAACCGCAGGCAAGCGTTTGGGTTATTTGGGTTTGTTTTTCAAAGGGATCGCTGTCAGAATCGAGATGGTTTCCAACAATGTTGAGCGCGCTGGAGCAGCGCTCCTCTGTCGGGTCTTCTCCTTCGTCACACTTCTGTAGAAAACTGTTGCTGGCTTCCCCTCTGCAAATTTCAAAACCTGCGAGATCCCATCTAAACGGGCCTCCCGAGCCAGAACTGATGTCTTGGCGTGTCTAAAATCTCAGAAGGTAGCAGCGAAAGTGGCGATGGCTGGTTTTATTTCTCACTGCACCGCCTGGAAGGAGCACAGGCGGAGTTAGTCCATGGCATGGCCCGTTTCATCCCCTGCCTCAATTTATTCCTTCAGGAAAACAAAGCCCCACAACCTCTTGGCAGGCCTGCTTAATTAGGCCCTAAACCCAAGTTTAGGACTTCCAGGAACTTAAAATTTAAAAAGTTTGGTTCCGAACTGCTTGACCCTATCCTTATAGAAACAAAAGAACCTACAGAAATGTTAGTGTTGTCGTCTGTACTGTTCTCGACAGCCTTGGTAGAATTGCACGTTACGGGACGGAAAGGCAACTTGCCTTGATTTATTTTTTTTTTATTTTTTTTTTTTTTTCATGTGAGGAGCAAACTTTTTTTTTTTGGATGAGTTCTGATGTACTTGCTGTTGGCTAACAGGTCCGCAGAGTATGGTGTTTGGGTTTGTTTTTTTATTTTAAAATGTTTCTCAGAGGGTGGGTGATCACGGACTGCACTGCTTCGGTTGGCTGGCACAGACCTCGAGCGCCCGGCTGCTGTTGCCGCGGGCGGATGCTCTCCTGGACCGACCGTCTGGAGATTCATCTGCTGGCGGACCTGTGCAGTTGAGTGTGTGTGGCTGGTTGGGTTTTCGGGTTTAATTTTTGTTTGTTTTTAATAATTACTGATCAATGTTGTGCTTTCTGCTACAGAAGACATGCTATTACCTGTCAGCCGGTCTGATAATACATAGAACCTGGTGCAAGATGAGCAGCTGTGTGTATTCTTCATGGGGTGGGGGTGGCCCTGGCCAGGGGAGGGCCAGCTCAGGGGTTTTCAGCCGTGTCACCCTCCCGTGGAGCGACTGGCTGTATAAATGTGCCTGTTCTGCGGCTCCCGCCTGGAAGCCGTGTTCCTTTCGCT